GCTCTACAACCAGCAGTTTGATTCTAAAAGGCCATGGAAAAGGGGATGGATGCCACAACTGACCTGTAAAGCAACAATTGCCTTCTGCCCAGCGGGCTTGAGGCAAATATTTTCAGGAAATAATGGCTCCTTCGGCTTCTATTTCCTATAGTATACTTAAAACCGGAGTATAATTGCTTAATACAGTCTTATTATTAACTCTTTCACTGCTGGGCCTAAAAAAAAAAAAGACTAAAAGAGGTTATTTTGAATTTGTTTTTGTGTGTTGGGGTGGGAAAAAGGTTGGCCTATGGGAAAAATTGAAATTGGAATTTTTAATTAGGTGGCATTGTGACCTTGGGGTGGCCATATTGGAAATCCCTATTTTCATAAATCTGTAAAAAAAGAAAAAAATTCTTATGGGATGCTGTTTTTTTTCACTGGATAATGGTGAAGATACATAAAATCAATTAAAAAAAAATCAATAGTTTGAATTATTTTCATCATTCTATTCTAAAACGGACAAAAATCCATGTTTGTCGGCAGAATCGTGAAAAAAAATTCCAAAAATTTGCTGCAAGATGAGTTTTTCGCAACAATTATTCATTCCTCCATATAATTCAGTAGAAATCACATCCAGTTCATAGAAACAATATAGAGGGTGCTGCAGTATAGGAACAATCAGAGCCGTAGATAGAGAGAGTTTGGCCAACTCGGTTTCACAGGATTCGATATACGTACGTGTGATTGGGTGGATCGCAATCACATGACTTACACCGGCCGTGTTGTCACCAAAACATTAAAGCTAGTACCGGGGGCATGCAGCAAAAGGGTTAAAATAATCATCAAAATAATTAGCATCAATAATAATGTTTCTATTAAACCATTGTATTGTTGCTTTTATTATTTTTATTTAATTATATTAATTATATAGGCAAAAGAAATTCCAAGTATGTGCTTTGACATATTGAGTGGTCTTGCCAACTGCAAAAACCCTTTCCCTGTTAAAACATGGAGAGAGTATGTCCAGTATGTCAAGGATGAAATTATTCCAGATATAGGTGAAAATGAAAGTGTGTTGCAGAACGCTACTGAGTATCTGCAAAACATAGGAGAAGTAAGTTCATTTTTTTCCCAGAAAGAACATAGTATAATACAAATAATGAAAATTTATTAGTATTTATTGGTATAATATTTCAAAGATTAGATGTTCTATTCAACGAGGCATATTATATAACACCTACTGTATACAATCATATAAAGAACATATGCCTAGTATGTGTATAAATGATATTGAACTATGTTGTAAATTGCCTAAAACCGGCCTGGCCTGTGTAGCCTATTAGGCTTGTATCGATCAGGTCTATGTTTGGTTATACTCAGATCCTGGACTGATTTACATTGCATTTTACTGAATCTTGTTGTTGATTTGACATCATTTTTATTTAGTAATTCAGACAAACCCTTCACAATCCATGGGTTGAAGCATCATTGATATTTCACCAGTCATGTGGTCGCGAGAGCATAGGTTAATTTTTTCTTTCATATTGCATTTGAAAATGTTTTTGCCTGTGATATTACAGACTAATGTTCTTTATTAATATTCTTATGTTTTAGTTTATTTCCATATTATGAGACACATAAGAAATGGGATGCAAGTAGAAATTTTTTTGCTATACACTATTTAAAATAAAAAATGTTGATTTCTTTCAGATTTGTATTTTGAAAGTACCTCAGATTCAAGCTGCTGCATCTGAAGACCCTGCTTCCCCTTCAGTTGAACTGGATGACTTAAGACAATCTCGCATTGTTCTCAGGCCACAATGGCTATGCAGGAATATATTTGGGCGACTTCTGGCACCAGACTGCTTCTCACACCGGCTGGTAAGTGTAGATCCTAGTAAAGACACATACTCAAAGGAGCAGATGCACAAGGCATTCAGTGGTGTTCTTAATGGCGTAGAGAAACTTATCGAGCTGCTTGTAATCCTAGAGTTGTGCTACGAAATAGAAGGGGAAGTGTTAATTCCTTGTAAACTTGTCTCAGACATGCCATCCGATGTCTGGAAGGTAGATGCGACAACAGTATCTTATGGTCGTAGGATCTGTTGTAAAAACACCGAGATTGATGGATTTCCAAAAAGCTTCTTTCCGAAAATTCACACATCTCTTGCTATTTATCTGAGGAAGACCGGTGGTGATGTAGTTCGATGGAAAAATGGACTGAAGGGAAGTCTTGATGGTGTGGACTTCATCATCCAGATGACACCCGAATTACAAGCGGTGCAAATTGTAGTTCAAATCATCCTTGATGATACCTACTGTCACATCAGAAAGATGCCACACCAGAAATGTCTGAAGAAATGTCATCGTGCCCTCCTCCGACTTACCCAACATGTGAATTTCATCAAAGATGAAACTTGTCCTGGAACAGAGACAATATTCCGATTCCTCAGTAGCAAATCCTTACAAGGATGTAGAGATCCTTGTGCTATTAAGCACACATATTCAATTGAAGATTTGCTAGATGCTGAGGAGAAAAAACAAGGTTTAGTCAGCACACATGACATCCAAGATTATGTTCATCAAATATTAATCCCAGGAAGCAGCAATGAAGTTCTTGACAAATTGGGTGAGAAGAGCAATGTTAAATGGATTCCAACGGACATCCTTGCTGCTGTTGCAGAAAAACTTGACGAGAAACTAGACGATATGCATGACTACCGAGCATTTTCTGCAGTCATTGGTTTGGAACAGAAGGGCAGATCTTTGGAGGGCAATTGTGAGAGCATCACTATAGCTCTCCTGAATGAATGGTGTGAGAAGAAAGATTCCACCATTCAAAGTCTGAGGGAAATATTGCAAAAGAAGCCGATTGCTGACCGTTTATCCAAGGATCGAGGAGATGTCGCAAGAATACTTAACGGAATATTTCCAATCAATTCAGTTCCTCAGTCAATGCATATTAATATGAGTGAATAAGAAAATTATACAGATCCCAAAAAAAACAATTTTTTATCCCAGGGTTATCACCAATAGAAGGATTCAATGGCTCTGGTTACTGTGGATTGGATGTAAGCACTAAAGCCAGACACCCACTGCATCATATAAGACATTTCCATAGAAAACACAAAAGCAACAAATTGCCGGGAGTGGATCGATTTTAATGAAGAACCGCTCAGATTGATACCAACAGTCAGCAGACGTCCTGGCGTTGTCAAGCACTCACTAGAGCAGAGATAGACACATTGACCGTTGTACATTGAAGTGTGTAACCACATGAAGATGAAACTACACCATTTAGCCAAGATTCAGTCCAATGTTGTTTCTGCAAATCTAAATTAAATTTATATAAATGGACAAGAAATACAGATGAATTGCTTACAAAGACAGTAAGAATCCTGTTGTGTAAATTTAAGGTGGATAACACTATTTAAGAATTACTTGTAAATGACTTTTTAATTAATATTTATAGTCATTTGTAGAGCCAGTGTTCATGCCAAAGATGAGTAGATTTGATGGTATGTAGACGAAGCAATTAGAATACTGAAAATGTTAACATAGTCTACCTTTGCTCAACAATAAGATGAAGAATTCAACCAAATTGCAAGTAATCAGAAACTATCACACAATTGCATTCCATGGTGTCATGGATTTGTTTATTCATGCCATGCTCAACAATGAAGATGAAGAATTAAACTGCCACGTACACAATTAGCACGATTATTTTCCCACGTTTTAAGAACATTTTATTTGTGGTAACATTGTTATCTAAAAAGATTTTTTTCGTATAATTATCCACCTAAACACTTACTTTGTAGAAGTAAGCAAGGAAAATATTGGCCATATTCCACCTCTCATATGAAGGATTATGTGAGGAACTGAACTATCAGACTCCTATTAAACCTAACACTGACCAGGTTCAACTGGTGTCTTCATCACAAGAAGCAGGAACAATACCTGTTGAAACCCAACACTGACCAGGTTGAACCGGTGTCCTCAGCACAGGAAGCAGGAACAAGAGCAGGAACAATACCTGTTGAAACCCAACACTGACCAGGTTGAACCGGTGTCCTCCTCAGCACAAGACCTGTTGATGCAGACTTGATATTATGATATAAAAAGCATTAAAAATAATGAAACAGTTTAGTGGTCGTGATGTTAGCATGAAGTCTTTCATTAAACTGCCTTTCAATCATAAATGTGACTTCATAATTTTACAATATTAGTTTTATGCAGTTTTTGCAGCATTATATATCTTTTCAACCATTTGAAAAAAAAAATCCAAAAAAAAAAAATGTATTTTAATTATTTAAAATAATTAAATTATATGTAAGTAAATTTATGATATAAAATATTACTGAAGCTTATTCAAACAGAATGCATTGTATCTGTTTTTATGAGTACAGTACTTGTATAAGTACAAATTTAAATTATTTTAAATTTTGTGTGACATGATGGTAATTTCATATCACATACATGTGGCAGTGGTTGGCACAGCACTTGCGGTTTGGTCAGTACTCAAATCCATGCATTTTACTTTTGTCCTTGGGCAAGGAAATTTACCTGTCTCTCTTCCCAGGAGTATAAATGGGTATCTGGTAGGATGTTACACAGAATATTATTATAGGAGTGCTATCTTGCCCTACCTGATGGGTTATCGTACTGAATACTCATTATAAAAACTTGCGCTTAGTGACTAGTATAGAATACGATCCCCAAGTAGCAGCAGCTACTGCAATTCTATCTAAATGTGTGCTTGTGTCTGGAAAATGTCAAAGGAGTGATGTTTTGCTGTACCCGACGTGTTATACTGTATACTCAGTTTGGCAGCTAGTGGTTATGACACCAGGCTAGTTATCTGTAGGATG